TTGGGCGAGTAGATGTCCGATGTGGGGGCGCCACCGATGTAGAGATTCAGCGGCAACGAGAGCTGGGTGAATGCCCCGGGTGCGAGGATCTCGCGTTCTGGCTCGTTCTCCACCTCGAGAGAGGCCAGTCGACCGGTCCGTGATACCCGCACCTCGATCCATTCGCCCAGTCGTACGGGCCTTTTGCTCCTGAAAACAGTTATCGCTTGGTGTATTGCTTTGTTGAGTGGCTTTAGCGCTTGATTATACAATTTCTTTATCATCGTTTGGCGCGAATGGTGATTCTGAATTACCGAGAGCGGATTCTTTGAGTATAGATGAATGACTCTGATGGGTTTTTTAAATTTCACGAAACGCAATGTATGCATCCTTAACGATGAGTATTTTCTACCCCCCTCCCCCTCCCCCTACCCCTACCCCTACCCCTACCCTGTCCCCCACCATCAACATACTTTTATTTCTTTTTTTTAAACTGAGCCCTTCTTTTTTTTTAATTTTTGTAAATTCTATTTGTTATTGTAAATTGTATCGACGGTATAATATCGTTGTGAATTTATTATAAGCTTATAGCTGCATATTTCCGGCAAATAACAAAGCATTTCGTCACCGATCTTAACAGATTTTTTATCAAGGATTTCAATGATTGAGAATGGCAGAAGAGCTTAATGTTGACATTACTTTATTGGTTAGACTGATTAGATGGAAAGCCGAGTAAAAAATGTAAAAAAGTGTCGATAGCCTTGAAGTGGGTCGAGTCCGTTGGACTTATCGATGATCTATAAAAGTGGTATCTAAGGCGCCAAATGAATGCGACTGTGCCAATTTGAAAATATTAGCTTAGCGACCCTCGGCCCCGCCACTCAATCGGCCACTAAAGGTAGCATAAAGCTCGCGAGATCGGAATCAGCGTTGCCTTAACAACATAATTTGTAAATGTCGATGGCACGAAATTCACGGACTAACACGCCCCCTGCCAATCATCATCTACTTGCGAGCGATCGATCCCCTATTAGGCGTGCGCTTAACGCCGTCAGCATTAACGAGAGCGATGACCGATACCCGCGCAATGTAATAAATAATGCCTTCGTCGATTCTTTCGCTACGATTTGCCTGACGCTCCACTATTACGCAATTCGATCGAGCTTAATTGGAGCTGCTCGTAGCTACTCTGACTGTCGTTATTACGACGCATTAACTTTATCAGTGGACGACGAATAATGGCGATCAATCGTAGCTTTTCAATTAGCGGGGAGGGGGGCGGGGGTGGTGGTGGTGGTGGTGGTGGTGGTGGAGGTGGAGGGGGGGGGGCACGGTGTCGCGCTTATCTCACGACGGTACTTCATTTTCGCGAACAAGCGCTTTTACGTAATCGAGGAGCCGCGCCAGTTTAAAAACAATTTCGCTCAAAATCTCGTATTTTCACTAGCCGTTAAGGAGGAGCACCGGACTTTAATCGACACGCTTTCCCTCTACATTGCCTTTAGGTCTTCAGATCTTTAGGTATGGATTCTTCTCGGCAATCTTCCTACGAGGGCTTTCGAAACTTCGATATTATTCTGTTTTCCTATGTATTATTAACTTTCTTTTTTTGAGTGTCATTTTCTGATATTTCTCGAACGGAGCGAATCAAAAAAGTTTCCTTCTCAACTTCAAGTGTAGTTTTAAAGGGGAATGTGTGAAAGTATTCTACTTCGTATACTTTCTGAGAGCTTATTTCCAGAGTAATATCAGAAAAATTCTCGGAGAATTTTCCCATTAGAGGGAGCATTTAAAAGAATACCAGTTTAATTTTGAAAATGATGTGGCTGTAAATTAAGCGCGCAAGATTTTGTATACAAAATTTTATCTTTATCGATTTTTCTTGCAACTAATTGTTTGAAAATTGCAAAAATAATAAAAGAGACCCGGAGATTTGCGGTTTCCTACCTCAAGGCAGACGTTTGGTTATTTCCGACTTTTTATACTTAATCGATATGCATAATTGCCGTCCATCCTATTGCTAATATAAATTTCGGTATTTTACAGTTTTGTTTAAGCTTAACTTTTATGTGTGTAAATGTTTTAAATGCTACTAATTCGATTACAATTGTAACGAGCTTTAATGCACTTATATTTGAAATACAATTAAAATGACTATTATAATTGTCATATTTATTTATATTATTTTACACAATTTACACAGTTTACACAAAACACAATAAGTTTTGTTTGCAAAAGCATAGCCAGTTTACTTTAAAAGTATTTCCATGTTCTTATCCAAAGTATCCAAATGACCTTATCGTGTCGCTACGTAGTAATTTATTTATTGTTACTTCAATAATTATGTAGTATTTTATTGTTTAGTACATCCAGTTATAAAAAAATATCCGCCCAGTGTATGCTCTTTTGATCTAATGTTTCGTCGTTGCCGTTTAACCGTTTCGTTTCATAATTACTTACGCGGATAAGAATTCGTAAAAATAAGTGCAGACTCTCAAGTTGATTTGGTCGGCGGTGGTTTTCCGAGATGGCCGACATTATCAGACATCAATCAAAATGCCAATTAGACACACAAATTTCGAGTCTACGATATAATTGATTTTTATACAAAGCTATGGCGGTATCTCAAACTTTGAACTTGAAAGCTGTTGCTTTCATTGCTGAATAAAGAATTTTCGTCTGTTTTTTTTTTTTTTTTTTTTTTTTTTTTAAAGGGTTACTAGCTTATAAAGTAGGCGAATAACGTGTACAATTAAAACTCATTAGTTACTTATGTCTACAATGGCGACACCCGTAATTTATCTAAATTCTTTAAAGAGCTCATCCAAAAACATTGCGACCGGCCTCGCGGGATCCACGTAAAAGCTACGTCCATTAAAAATTGCATCTATCATCTGAAATAAAAATAAATAACGACCCGAGTTACTCGGTCGGATTACTTACCTTAAAGTCGCGCATCCGGTTCCCAAGTCGAACGTAAACTGCACATGGCCTTCGGTCAGGTAGAGGGCAATAAAATCGCCAGTTGCGTCGCTGTGATGGCCGTTATAAAGTATGACACCGTCGGGGCTCGTCGGCTTCAACGTCACCGACAATTCCAGCCACGACAGCGATGTTTCCGCCAATCCGGCGTACCTTAGGTACGAGGAGCCGTTGAACGATGGTACCTGAGAGGCGTGGGTTACGCATAAGTGTCTTACATAACGTATTGGTCGCTATTTGCCTAACTTCACGCAATGCGCAATTTAAGTGCTAATGCAAGATGTGATTGGACGGGACGTTTTTTTAAAAATCATCTGTACGTTATATTCATTTTTACCCTCTATAGAATTTAAATTTGTATACTACAATCAATGGGTCGAGGCTGAGGTTGATGTGGCGAACGCATTGTACTTATTCTGGCTCCGATGCTTACCGATATTCCGGAATAATGGAACACCGAGAAGCAGCTTAGCCGTTTCTAAGCTAACCGAAGATTTGGCCAATGGGATCGCTATTTCACGAGGTTTGGAAAATGCTTACGACACGGGGCCATAAAATTTCTTACAAACTTTTATTCTAGTGCTTTCTTCTATTGTAAATTGCGATTGGCCATTTAAACTATCTTCATATACCATCCTAACGGGAAGCTGAATGTTTAAAGATTATAAGTCACTTACACGTGAAATGGACTTTCCTTTCTTAAACAATTTAAAGTAATATCAAATATTAAAGCAATATTATTAAATGTTGGGCCAGTTTTATCAATGACAAACTATTATGCATAAATACGTTTTTAATGTTCAATCACGTTTTAATTTATATAACTACGCTTATATAAACGCGTAATGTCCATTAATGAAGAGCTTACACACCCACACCCACGCATGTACTCACGCACGTACGCCCGTGAAAGCGTACGGTCATTAATTTTAATGCAACAGACAATGCAATTAATTTTAATTCCGTAATATCCAATAAATTAGTCTTTCAAATGCTGCCTAAAACTCTTTCTCGTTTAAATTACAAGTGGGCACGCATTAACAATTTAATGTAAAATATTAAGATTTAACTATAAACTAAATTAGTAAGTACTAGTTTAACGTTTGTACTCATTATACGCACTTCGGACTATTCGATATTTACCGATCAACATTCGCAAGCTCTTTTTAATGACGACACAGTGCCCCTAAAATATTTATATACTCCTTGACTGTCATTCGCATTCGAAAGCCAAACGATGCATCGGGTGATGTACCACGTCATCCTACGGAAACTGCATATGTAAATTGTCATAAGGAAGATATGCGTGGGTGGGTGTCGCGTTTAATTGGCCCGCTACTTTTAACGTTCAAAATGAATACGTACACCTCGCAAAAACGGCCCCGCATAACTCCCGCAATATGCGCAATTGCCTCGCATTGATTAATGCCAGCCTCCGGACAATCGATTTGCTTGCGCGCAAGCTGTAGAAGACCTTTTGTCATGCTAGGAAAAACCGAGTCTGCGGATGACGTGATGCAGGAGCGACTGCGAGAGCTTTTTGACGTTTGAGTAGCACTTGGTGGACGCAAGCGGCTGTCGTTATTCTTTTCCTGCTTTGCCTAAGTGTACTTGGATATTATACCGCGCGATTATGAAGGGGTTTTGTGCGCGCGCGCGCGCGCGCGTGTGTGTGTGTGTGTGTGTGCGTGTGCGTGCTTTCCAGAGATTGAATTTAGTATTTGTATTGTTGGTAAACAGATGCAGTGTATGAAGCCGGATACTTACTTTACATAATATAAGTAAATTAAATGTATTTATTAAGGTCTAAACTGAAATGAAATAAAGCGACGGAGTTTTCCAAGAGCTTAAGAGGATCGTCTAGGTAGCGCGAGAAAATTTGATATTTTATATTTGCATTTTCTTACTGGAATGAACTTCAAAGTATATTTCAAGCCTTGGTTTATGTAAAAATGTCTAAAACTGCCTAAGCCCAAATGTTTTAAATGGAGTAACTTACTAGACAAATGTACGAAAACTTTATCTGCTTTTATTTTTAAGCTTTTTGAAACTGACATAAGAGATAATGCGCAGAAATAAAAGTGTTGTAATGCATATACTTGAAGTACATTTAAGATACGGTTATTCTTGCCTTACATTCTGAACAGATTTCGACTGTTTAAAGTCGGCAATTCTATCTTTTCGCTTTCTCATGTTTCTAAAAGTCTATATGTTACATACGCTGTTACAATCAAATACACACACACACACACACACACACACACAAAAATATTTTATATTTCAGTTAGTGGAAAATAAAAACAATATATAAATCCTTAGAATCGTGGTTATTACAAATTTATCACAGTTACTACATTAGTTCAGTATTTGTTTTATTTTTTTTCTAAAAATTCCTAAATTAATAGAAAATTTATCAAAATGTAAATCGCATATAATCGAGAGTTAATGCAGTAAATTTTGACATTTGAGTGGTATATCAATAAATATTTTTAGTACATTAAATTGTTGTGGAATTGAGATAATGAAATATCAATGCTTGTTACAAAATTTGACGAAATTACTTTTATATATATATATATATATATATATATATATATATATATATATATACATATACATTAGCATTTGTTCTATATTATTACTCTATTATTCAATAAATATTAAGTCTGTATTTAGATATGTATTTAATTGTAAAATGTATATTAAAGTGCATACATTATGATACGAAATAACAAATTCGTCATCAATTTAAAAGAAAAGCTTCTAATTAAATGTAATGTGATCGACGAAAATATTATTGACTTGCTAAATACTTTGCTATATTAATTTATTTAACAAGGTCATACTTAAATTACAAGTTAAAACACGTGAAGCACATAATCATAAAAACAACAAGCTGAATAAATGGAATGATTAATAAATGTTAAGATATTTTTTAGAATTTATGTGTAAAGTAAAATGCTATGTGAGTTGAAATTAAATTTTCATAAATTATTGACGAATAGTAGTCATTTTATTTTCATTTCGTTAAAACAAAACAAAGAAGATGAAACGAATAAAAAAATTTCACTTCCATAATGGAAGAAGAACTGATTGTAAAGAAATTGATTAACGTATAACAAAAATACATAAACGTTATGTTTTATAAAATTGACAATGCGATTCATACGTCAATTATGCATTTATACAGAATTTATTTTTGCATTTATTTAAGAACTTATATTTTTTTACGTATTTAAAAAATTTATATATATTATATAATGCAAATTGTTTGCTTTTGGTTTTAAAAACAATATCGATGTATACCGTATTGATTGTTAGGTTGCTGATAATGTTGGCTTAATCAAGTGTTTCGTCACTTTGACGAATAACTCGATTCGTTATTCGAAATTCGTTTCTTTTGGCAGTGGAAATTTTTAATTTTTCAATTATTTTCACAGTTTACTAAATATTTTGATAAAATATTCCACATTAAGTAATTTATACAGCTTGCGTGAAACGTTTAACAATATGAGAAATTTTTGCTCTTTTGAATTAAATATTTTTATTACATAGTTACGGAGAAAACTAACACTTACCTGAATAATAATGAATGTCGAGAAGTCGTATAAACTTATGTAATTTTAACGTTTAAATTTTAAAAGTTTTTTGCGCCTTGTGTAAGGGGATGAATCGTCGTGTGCCGAGTTAGTTTTATTTTCCTTATTAAAGTGCACTTAAAATAGTAAACAATTTTACTCTACTCTATATTTAAGTTCCAAAAAGAAGAAAGAGCGATGATAATAATCGAGGCTAAAACATAATTGTCTAACGTATACGGAATGAATTTAACGAAGCGGGCCATTTCTTCCAACAAATTTCGAAATTTCGATAGTCCCATACGTTATTAATCACATACACAACAAAAATTGTAATTCCAGGTGCGACGACGACCTCGGCCGGTAATTATTTTTCATTTTGCCAGATGTAAAGCGATTATTTATCCCCGTGAACACGACTCAAGATCTCCATAAAGTTTCCTTGCACGGCTATTCGCATTTATTCCCCGCGCGAGATAAATGACAATAGCATTGAATTTTAAGCAGACACGAGGGCTTACATAAGACATGCATTTAAGGCTAAAAGCAATGGATTCGACGGAGCAGGGGGCACACTTTGAGCACTTAGTGCAAGCTCCCGACGCGTCGTGACGCCGACATCGTTTCATTAGACGGCACTTATAATTGAGCTTCTTATCACCATCCTAAAACGCATCCGGACGCTCGGCACTACGACAATTATTGACTTTTCTAATGGATTAGTGTTGGGAGAAATCTTGGAGGCACGCCCGCAATCCAAATTAATTGCTTATGCAGATGATGCCTGCCATTTCCGTTTATAAATAAAATAATGCGGCCGATAATTATTCGGGATCTTTACGTGCCCGGGACGGATGGTTGTAATCCGTCTATCTCAATGCAAAATCTCTGTACACATGGGGAATGTAGTTTTAGTCGTCGGGGATATGAATTTCATTTCTAGAAATGAGAAGAGCGATGCACCGCGTAGATTAATTTATCAAGGCATTCTTATTTTACCGAGTTAATATTTTTCATGAAGATATATCGGAATTAAAAAAAGTACCACGCCTTCACTTTAATTACAAGGACATTTATTTGACAAATTTAATGACTCGGTCGAGGTTTTGAAGTTGAGCTTTATTTCTACGAGTGATAGCATTACTCATTGTCGAGATAAAAAAAAAAATCGCGCGATTCTGACACTTTGGAATTTCAATTGCGATTTCCATGATTAAAGTGATAACGGGAAATATCATATTTTACCCCCCCCCCCCCCCGCTAATGGACATCGTCTTCCTATGTCATTTATTAGCGTTACTTAATAAATTGCAATCTCTTCAATAGTCACGTTAATCTAAGTTTCATTTTCCAATCATTAACGAAAATTCAATAAGGCGACAGGCGCTTATTAATTAATATTTTTCTACCCGACTACATCGTATCGGACAGAATAAAAGCTCGGCTAATAAATGGAATTGAAAATTAATCATCGATCGCCATAAAAAAATTTATCTCTATCGCGTAATCTTAAAAATCTCCAAAACCTCGTCGAGTCGAAAAATTAGTCGACGGAAGTCGGGGCAGCAGAGTCACGTTTACCTGGAGGTCCACCCTCGTCTCGCAGAGGTCACCGGTGTAGCCGAGGGGACAGAGACAGACGGCGGTGTCACCGCCGGTTGTCAGGCACTTGCCGCCATGTTCGCACGGCACCTTGCTGCATCTATCCGCCGTGCACTTTTCTGAAAACAGAATGCAGAATGTGCGATACCGATTAAAAAGTCAACTGGGAGGATATTTGCAGTGGCGCTTTATCTTCCGTGTTCATAGCGCTCGTATGTATCTCATAGCGTGTGTAGGGTACTTTACCGCCCTTCGGTCCCATGTTATATAATATGGTCCAGGGCAAGCCCGTACGTCCTTTCGAAAGATAGACTGGCAGATTATTTATGCATATTGTTCGTGCAGAACCTGGCCAAATCGTGCATGCCTGGGGCAGCGAACGCGTATCAAAGTAAAGTATCGTTAACGCGCAAATTCCATGAGTCAAACATCGAAGGTACGTAAAAACCTGACGAAAAAGATTAAAATGATGGGTAACATTGGATTGGGGAGGGTGGGTAAGTAAATGGAAGAATAGTGTCGTGGAGAAAAAACAAGACATTCGATACTTTGAAAGCGTTACGGACACAAATAGAAAAAGCTAGTGTTCACTTTTTCTTTAGTGCTGCCAGCTTCGCTTTTCATTCGTCCTTTATTGTTCTCCTTCTCGTGTAATCACTTCGCACTTATAACTATGACGAAGAGCTTTTTTTTTTGTAGTCTTTATTATGTTCGCTTCCCGTTCTATTTTTCCGTTTTCGCGTTCTTTTTTTCACTCAATGAGGAGAATCGAGGGGCGGAGGGGAGCGGCAGCGATGTGTATTTAGTACGTTCGTTCCTGTTGCAAAGTCAAGTGCTCAATTTTCCGCTTCTATTTTTTCATGCACTATAACTATTGGCCTCGTACCTTTTAAATGACTGTGCGAAATCCATACGATATTACTCCCAAGAGAATATATGTCGTGTCTCTTAATGCGATTCACTTTGTTCGGACGTAAAGTACCGTGATTTTGCATCTCACGACTACACGTTCTTCATTACGATTTATATTATTCTTTAAAAGTTATGCATCGATGCGTCTAATTTTAGAAATAGCCAACTATTATTTTTCAGTATTATTAATAATAATGAATAACGGTTTATCTTAAGACGTTTTACAATATTTACAAAAAATTTCATTTCCAACTAATGTTCTCGATTTCAATAATAATAATAATAATAATAATAATAATAATAATAATAATAATAATAATAATAATAATAATAATAATAATAATATCAATAATAATAATAATAATTATTATAACAATAACGTGGAAGTGAGTTTTTGCAATGTGTCTTGTTTTCATTTATACATTTACAATTGAGTTTATCTCTTCGAGTAAAATTTAAGTTGCTAGTGTTCAATAAATTTAGGTGATTATTGGTAAATTTGATGCTACTGCCCATAAGTTTATACACTCGATTCAGTTTTATAATTGAGAAATTTCATCTTTTATTATTATTTTCTTTTTTCGATCATTATTAGATGGCTTATATTTATTATTACATTTCTACAGTAAATTGGATATTATCAAGAATCAACTTCACGCAGAAATATTTCTTAAGTATTTAAGCGGTTTATTTATTTACAATGCATACAATAGTTTAAATTTAAATGTATAACCTTATCTAGGATAGTATTACTGCCAATAAATAAATAACTTAGTAAGGCATCGATAAATTGTATATGGATTGTTTTTTACTTTATTTTTTTTTTTACCGAGTTTCGATATTTGAATTTTCAAAGATGTAAATAATGATTTTCATTTAATAATATATTTCATTACGTTAAGTAAATAGGTTGTCTAGAATTGTTAATAATCACATTATAGATTGGTTTAGTATTAAACATTAGAATCCAGAAAGTAGTCATCCTGTGCATTTATGAATAAAGATTAAAGAAATTATTCTTGGGTCGGTAAGTCAATTATTCTTACAAATCAATATATTGTCATCTATTTCGTAATAAAATACGTATTTTTTTTGTTGACTGTTACGTGAAATTCATTATTCTTATGCTGGATAGGAAGACATGTATTTTCTCATTTAAATACGTTAATTTAAATATCTAATAACTTTATAGAAATATCGATTAATACACTATAAGATCTTAGTAGAAACTTAAAAAATTGTACGCTCGAATAATTTATGTCGTGAATTTATAATTTCATAATAATTCATGCATCTGTCTAATGAAAATTTACTACCTTTACGCAAACGATGAAAATATTAACTGCCATTATGAAAAGCACAGTTTACTCAATAATGTAAATACGGAGCTTCTTTATAAAGTGAATGTTGATCGTTGCTTATCAGCTTAATTGAAAAACTAATTTCATATGGTGAAGCGATCCATTATCCAATCCATTTTTTTACCGTTCGAATGCCCGACTACACATAGAAATCGCTCGAATCTACAAGAGTACGATAACCGAGATCTCTCAACATCAGACTTCTCAAGTGAACGCTCATGGTCGTCGACGGTGGGCGGGGTGTGGGGTCGGGATGAGGAGCCGGAGGGTAGCAGCGCGAGATAGTCGCCGTTGTCAAACAGAGAGTTCGCAAAAGGATTCTACAAGGAGGTGGGTAAGCGTCGTGGAGAGCCATTGGTCCCGTACTCACCGACGTCGAAGCCGTTGAGCGCATCGCCCTGGGGCGCCAGGGGGAAACGATAGCGTTGTTCGTTGATCTCGAGGTTACGGACGCAGCCCCAGAAGCCGTTGCGTACGGGCAGACGCTCGAGTCCGCTGGTGTTGCCGGGGCCGCCGACGAACAGCGGCTCTCGGAACGTGATCCTGGAGAAGAGGCCCTGGAACGGTATTAGTACGTTATATATATAAATAGGCTAAGGTCGTTTCGTTTATGTTTGGGATAATCACCGTAGAGTTGGGATTATGGGTAAAATTCGTGATTTTGCAAAAGTTTTTGGTTGGAAATATTGCGCTTGGCTTTAACCATTTTTCTTTTGTACTTGGGGCATATAAGGCGCTCGTATTTAAGAAAGCACTATACTATCAGGTCCGACGATGAGAATAGCTCCGTTGAAACTATCTAACGAGCTTGGAAAAGATTCAAAGTATTTAGCGAGATTCAGTCGATAAGAAGCGCATGTATTGAGAACTGATAATATATAATTAAGCAACATTCGGAGATAAATACATTTTGCTTTTTGCCTTGCTCATAATGTATTTTGCAACATAATGTTTAACGCCCAAGTGTTGGAGATAAAGGCATATTATACAAAGGCATTATAATGACACTAAACGTGTATTGTGTGGGGACCGACTTCAAGGAAATTAAAATAACAGGAGCATTTCCATTATCATTGATAGTTTGGCTGGGAATATGTCTGTAGCTACTTTGAAATTTCCGGATTTCAGTGCATCTCCTATGATAAATATACATATGAGTTGAAACGCAATAATTCCCTTTCAATAATATAAGCTTGATAAATCGCGCATAACTTATCATCGATCAATCGATATGATGAAGCAAAAGCGATCGTACGCAGGTTCTGTAAATATGGCTTTACATAATGATTTTTTTTTTTTCAGTTTTTAATTTAAAATATTAAGAAAAAGGAGCGAATTGATATTTACATAATTCCAATAAGTTGACATAATGCTTTCATTGTTTTAATAATTAGGCTTATCACTTTAATTGTAATTACAACTTAAAGCTATTATTTGTCGATCTATTGTAAGTAAATTAATAATATTCTTTATCCTCGATGTGAAATAGTAATTTTAATAATCAATTATTGTTGATCGAATCATCAAGGCATTTAATAATAATATTTTAGCGATTGTTTTAAAAAAAAACAAATTATCATTTCTATAGTAAAGTATCAACAATTTCTTTGTATAATGACTTTTACACAGCTCCATTCCATGAAAACTATATACATAAAAATTCATTAGCTTTTTTCTTATTAAAAAAAAGTTGCGGAACATAGAGTATAATGTTATATATAAAAATGACGATCTTTTAATAAAGTTTCATTAATAAAATTTCATTAATAAATATCTGCTTTAAAATCGTGTAATCGAAATACCCTAAATAATAATCGGCTGCAGATGGCTAAAAATCATTAATCGAATTGTAATATTAAAAAGCCCTAATAATATCATATAGTGCAGCGATTACATATGAAGCGGAGATCAAAAGTATGGAATATCGGAAATATTAATATTGCCGGTAGATAAGTGTGTAAAATATATATTATTTTTCCAGACGATTGTCGCGGTTGGTTACCGATAGAGAATACCAATAGCACAATACCAATATCAATGGTATCGATAAGAATGATATCGAGAATGACGTAATCACGCGAGCTGCGCATCGGAACGACAGTGTACCCGGTATGGCGGCCCAATATGCGTTTCACTGCAATTATAAAAATTGTGATAACGCTCACGCTAACCGCTTGGCAAGAATAACACTTTTTTCTTTCTATTTCTTCTTATTGGACTTTAAACCACATTATTTAAACGATTGATTATCGTAGCATCGCCATCGTTAAACAACTATTAATAAAAGTTATTATTCATCAACGCGTCTACCGTGTATCCTTCGAATAGCAAAAAAAAAAAAAAAAAAAAAAAAAAAAAAAAAAAAAAAAAAAAAAAAAAGCACTCCACGCGTAATACGCGTTATCTCGTATGAAAAACTTGCGAGTCACGCGAGCATGAAGAAACAATAAATAAATAACGGGAGGTAAGAGCGCCTAAAGTGGATCCAAGCATTGCCAAGCCGATCATTAGGAGGGCAAATTTACGGGATCCGTGGAAATTCGATCGCTAATGCCATAGTCGCGCATTAGAGTCTCTACTTATCGATTTCTTAGCGAACGTATCTAACGAGGAAAGAAGAATCGAGGAGTGCCTCCTAAATGCTTGGGGGTTCGGAATTAATGGGCTGTTTTCGCGTTCTACCATAGGCATCCTTTCCCTTCACCTCTTTGCTTTCGTTTTATATTCCCCCTCCCTCCCTCCAGCCCCTCCATTACCAAAGTCGTCACTCACTCACCCCCATCCCGTCTCCTTGTTTTAATTATAGAAATTTTGGAGGAGTGCCTAACAAGGCGTAAGCTAATAACTATAATAATAATCATGACCATAATAATTAGTTACTGTGTTTCGTGGGGGATGGAGGGGTGGGAGGGTCACGACTCGCGCTGTCTTTGATGAGGCCAATAAAAGCACGTGAACTTAATGAAACTTAATTGTTGTTGGCACAGCCATCGATTTTTTGCTTTCTTTTATTCTCATTGACTTTGTGGAATATTTTCATAAAATTTGTTGCATGACTCGACTTTTTCAAACAAACATAATTAAACTTTCGTGCGTTGCTAAAATTTATAATTTATAGTCCTCATATCGGTAGTTGTCAGTCGATGGATCAGCGATGGATTTAACAATTGGCAACTGGTAAAATTCGACCTTCGTACATTTTAATAAGCGAGGATTCTTATTTTCGGATTTTTAATAAATTTTTTTTATCCCCATCTTACGTTCAAGTTATATAGACGCTGAAAAAGTATACAATAACGAATTTGAAAGTCATTAAAGTTAAGCAACTGGCTTTAATTAGAATATCTAGCTGATCAAAGATATTATAAGCGAATGGCAATTTTGGTTACTCAAATTGTATATAAATATATATAAAGAAAAAATCTATTTAATTTTTAACTTAATGACATAAGATTAATATATCTGCCGATTAAGCGAAAGAAATTACGTATTAATACGATGGCTGTATTTTTCGCTAACCAATCGCTACTTTTTTTCGAAAATATTTTTGAAACTATTTGGCGCTGTAATTATAAATATTATTAAGATTGTCTATTTAAATTTAACGTTTATTACTTCACCATCTCTATCCATTCGTTTTGTCTCTCTTTGTTTTATCTCTATCCATTGCGTTTGATGAAAATGACATACTTGTTAATCACTTAGCTGGAAAAGCAACATTCTATATTCATTCTGAACATAATGCCTGACTTGCCATTTACATAATAGTATGTTTCGTTTTAAAGTTCCTCGTACTATAAGATGTTATTGCATGCGGAACACGAGCATGAAGTAATTTCAAAACTCGTTAACCTACAACATTCCCGCGATCACGACTGCACCGATCCAACTTTTTTCACCATCACATGGATAGCCGAAATTACGATACCCATCGAACAAGGCATGGGGACAACGAACAGGGGGAGGAGGGCGGCAAATATTGGCCAATGCGTGGGATGCCAATCTCGCCTCACCATTTTCTTTGATTATACGGCGAAAAAATTTCGAATGCCAATCGATATTGGCAATATCTCGCGGGGACGGCTGTATGGCTTCGTTCTATGTGGAAGCTGCACAGGTGCGTTTACAAGGGGTTCTGGTCGGCAGTGTGGCAGTGGATGCCAAAACCGAGACTAATGCCCCCCCCCCTCCTCCTCCCCAGATTGATTAATTCCTGATTAATGAGCTTTTTGTGGCAGCCTTATTGTCAATACGGAATGCGATTCTTCACCCGATTACGAACTATTGGACTTTCAATAGGCTGCGTCGTTCGGTATTATTTACATGAAGAACGAGCTTGTTTTTGTTTGCGATATAGGGGCGCGACAAGTATTGTATATTTCCACAGATTCGGAATTTAGCGTCGATATATTTGTAACGATACTCAGGCTTTTGCAAAGTTTTAATTGTTTTTCAGAGGAATTATTAGTGAGTTAAGATTAATGAGAATTATAACAATTAATAATGAAGCGTTTTCGCGGTTATATATACACACACACACACACACACAAAAAAACACACACACACACACACACACACACACACACACACACACACATATAGATATCCAAACACTCGGCTACGCATTTGTTTTATTTTAATCGAATACTACTTTACGGTCTTATTACAAGGACGTATATTTTTTTAAAGTAAACTACGTAATGGTATTCAAAAAGTAGTCAGTATGTCGTAAAACGTCCTCAAAGTTATAAAATATCTAATTATTACTTTACGGAGGCTAAATATACCACTTCTCTTTTCCATAAGGAGTTTAGTTCTTTTATTAAATTATTTAGACTAGAAGTCGTAACATTTTTACTTCAAAACTTGCTGCGCTAAGGAAATATTAAAAAATATTTTATTAGCGTATGAAAGATTAATTTAACTAATTGCTAAATTCGCCCGCCGTTGTAACGAGCTGTAATTATTCTTATAATTTGTTCAAGTTCGCTGCTAAAGTATTACTTTCCTACTGCTTGCACCGGATGTACTACTATTCCTTCTGTGCCATTGAACTTTTTAAGCCTGCCTGTAATAAATGCTTCGTTGCAAAAGAAAACAAACTTGAATTTATGCAAAAGACCACTATAATAGTCCGGCATAGTAAATAAACTAATAAATTGTATCCACAATACTACCGTACTTTGGCACATACTTCACGAGAAATTAAAATATCAAAAGATGTTTTTAATGTTCCGATTGCTTTTGCGCTTGCCTCTAGTTTCTTTCCTTTTTTCTATTTTTTCTTTTCTTTTTTCTATTTTTTCTTTTCTTTTTTACCTAATCGAACGATGTGTATATAGTACTGGCTGGAAAATTACTAGGTTTTCCATAATAAATTCCACATTCGAGCACACAAAGGTTTGGCGTTAAAAAGCAATGCAAATAGTTGCCTTCCTTGCCCTTGCGCCGCCGAGTGTCCACAAGTCCGAATTTAATTGACATCGATTGAAAAAAGCGCCACCGTTGGTTTGAACTTTCGTTTTCGTAGTCGAAGCGACTTGCCCCTTCGAGAAAT